TTGCAAGTGTTTTATCGAAGATGTAGATGAAAAAATAAAAGAAAATCTAAGCTGAATCTGTTTATACTACGGTTACATCAGTAAGGTTTCTCTTCCTCACTCACTGATACACCATTTCCTCCCCGATAAAGCTGTTGTCAAGGTTTTGGTTGCACATGGGCCTTCCCTTCTTCAGCAGCTGAGGTGTCCTTCGTGTTCACATCCCTCCCGCAGCAACGCATACATCAGGGCGACACGAACCTCAAACACGCAAGGGGCTAACAGTATGAAATGTACCAGCAGCTCTGGCCCCAGATCAGCCTGACTGTGATTATCATGCTGGAGGTGCTCATCTCCAGTCTCCGCAGTTTACGCACATCATGAAATCAGCAAAAGGCAGCAGAAGCATCAGCAAACAATGATCTTTCTGCTTACACTGCACAGGTCAAATTCTTTGTTAGTTTAATAAAAACCCTAAGCTTCCAGTATTGTTATGCCAAAAGTAAACACCTCATTTTGTCAAAATGTAATTGATCATAGGTCAGGCAGAGATTCAGAACCTGACTGCCATGAAAATATTGATAAAGAATAAAACGGCATCCTTTCACCTTTTCTTATGAAAGGAAAAGAAAGAACCCCACCACCCTCTCTGTAAGTAAACCTTCCACATTTCTCTCAACAATGGTGAAGTTCCCTGAAAATACTTCTCCACTTAAGAAGCGTTGTTAGATCAACACTCCTCAATCCACATCCTTGCTCTCGTTTCACCACCTCATGGCTATTCTGATGCAGCTATAAACCCATCTAACCAAAATGCAACTTCCAATGTCTTTTACTTTTTCAGCTGCATAAGCATAACCAAGAGGTGAAGAACAGGCCTCTGGCAGAAGGCATAAACCTTTAAGAGCAGCCTGCCACTGTTAAACAAATCAATACAAAATCCACAGGGACCTACTTAGCAATTCTTACTCTGTGAGTTATCAGAGAAAAAAAAAATGCAGCAGATGCTTCACAAACTAAATATATTTGCTTCCCTTGCTTTTCAGAAAAGCAGGAAAAAATCCAAACAGTAACCCCGGGTTAAAGAGCAGCACCAAGGTCCGAGTCAGATCAGCACAAGATTTGCCAGATCACAGAATCAGTTCGGGGGTTAATGCCCCTCCCCAGACACCTGCTCCCACAGAAGCAAGCTGAAGGATGGGGGTGGGAAGCTAGGTCAAAAGAAGCTTCATTTCAAGCATTGTTTTTAACTGCCATCTCTGCACAAGGGCATCCCACTGATGATGTAATCAGTGCTTCCTCAAAAAAATCCAGGGTATACACAACCACTGTGAGGTGTAACTTTAACCATCTAGACAAAACTGTCTTGTTCTTCATTATGAATACTGAGTCAGACTTCTTTGACAGTGAGCCTCCCAGGTGGGGTGTGGCTTGATAACCACTGAAAAAAATCTGAAACAAAAATTTTGAGAACAGTTCCTAAACCAGCCTCCCCACGATGCCAAGCGGTGTAAGATGCAGAGAGCTACGGGCAACTGAGCTAAAACATGACAAAGTACCAACATATGCAGGCAAAAGGTCCTGTAGCAGGCCCAACTTCCCAAACGTAAGCCTCAGTGCCATGCATTAATAGCAGGACTGGCATCATGGAGAAGCTTGTTCTGTTCTTCCACGTTATTTTCAAATGTCTCAGTTCAGCGTTTGGGCTCGCTCCCTTTTCTTCCCAAGTTACACATGCCCTCAGCAAACAAGGATATCACCTCCTGGTAAAAAACTTTAATTGCAATATGAACAGAACTGGTAGATTTTTACTTCTGCTGTAAGGAAGGTGGCTTGATTCTGGTTGTTAATTGCTGAAGAAAGAGACCAGCTCGTGTAGTTAACAAGTGATCTGGACAAGACAGAAAGAAAACACGTCTCTCAGCATGCCACAAGCTGTATACGGGAATGATCAAAGACTGGCAACGTGCAACAGAGATGGTACAAGAGCTTACTTTCTTCCTCTGCTTTGCATGTTCTGACAAGAAGTTTTGTGGTACTCGGTGACTGGATTTAGAAACTCTTCAGAAAATCTGTATGTGTTCACATCAAGAAGAACAAACACTAAAATAGCTAATTTGAACTCAGAATCTGTTACCATCTTGTGAAAATGTGCAGAGCGCTATCCATTGAAAACGCCACCTTTCCACTGTGTCAACAGAGAAGCTATTTTCAGCTTGTGAAAAATGTTTTTCCCTGAAATGCTGAAACATTTCCATTCTCATCAGAAAAGCAAGGTAATGAATGTAAGTATTTTTAAGACCTCATAACATGGTCTAAAGAGAGCTCTTGTATCAGTAAGCCCATATGGTAGGAGCAGGACTTGGTCTGCAAATAAAGGTCTGGTAAAAAACCTATTTATTTCAGCTGGAACAGTTTTATATTGCAAAACTGTTTATATCAGCATAGTTTACTTCCTAGACAGAAAAAACCCATAAAACAGCATTACGATACAATAACTGCATGCCTATCATAATTCCATAATAACAGATGGTTATAAGCTTAATAATGTAACAGTATGTTTAAAGCAGTACAGCATATGTTTGTAGATAACCCCTGGATACTTATGATGGAGCACATCGGGCAGAATCTGCAAGACATTCCAAGGAAGATATTCATCAGGGTATGCCAGAGACCTGCTTGATCAATTAGCTTTAAAATTCACGATGGGACTGGGCCCAAGGGCAAAGACAACAAATACCAAGTCTTTCATTCAACTACTTGGCTTTAATATACAGCATGAGCAAAAATAGAAAGTATCCAGGAGCAAATTATTAGTATTCAATAAGACAGTGGTACTGGGGTGTTTGGTGAACAAAGCGGGGGTTTTGCCATATATCTGTTCAACTGCCCAGTGGCATTTATGTTCTGGTGGACTAAGTAGCCTGGTCTAAAACTTGCGTGACTACATTAATAAGTTGAGTAACTTTCCCAGGAAACTCAGTTCCAAGTCAGTGCAGAGTTAAACTGATCTGCTGTTTCAGACAGATGAAACTTCACTGGAGTAGGAAACAGTGCATTGTTACTACAAGTCAATAAAAACGTATTTAAGCCTAGTCATGCCAGCCTCTAAAGCCCATGCCTGAAAATGGTACAAGTGTATCCAGCTAAATCGAGGAAGTTGAGTTCTGAAAACAAAGGCAGTAAAGGAGCAGACAAATCACCAGTGCGACAACACAATATTAACCAAGTCTCAGAACACACAAGGTACAGTTTACATCTGTGATACTAATAGGTCATCTGAGATGCTGAGAAAGCTACTCAAAACACAGAACAAGTCAGAGGCAGAACCTGAAATTAGAGTCAATAATTCTGATGACCCACACAGCACCAAAAGAGCGATCTCAAGCGGCACTTTCTAATTCACCCAAAGCACCTGTCTGACAGGCGATCAATGCACAGTTCCAGTTAACAATGGGAGGGACTGAAGTACCTCCTCCGTACTGCCACAGACCCTCAAACGTATCACTGGCTCATAAAAATGACGTGAATTAGGGAATGAGAAAGGAAGTGAAAGTTCTAGCAAGTCTTACTCTTGATGTTGAAAGCTGCAGCAGATGCATCAGGTGTGTGACAGAGTACCAGTGCTCTCCTCCCCCTGACAGCTCTGCACCAGCAAACTTGCAAATTACCTTTGGATTGCTGCCTAGAGCGCCCCAGCCAGTAATGAACACGTTCAGGGCAAAGGGAAACGATCTTATGTTGATTAAAACAGAACAGCAGCCTGATCTCCTTCATTTCAGTCATGACTGAGATTTACAAGCAATGACAGCATAGCAAGGGATACCTGACAGGCTGGATGGGGCTTTGAGCAACCTGGTCAGGTGGAAGGTGGGTTGGAACTGGATGACCTTTAAGGTCCCCTCCAACCCAAACTGTTCTGTGATCCTACAACAAGATTACCTCTCAGCTGGTCACACTACACTCTATGCATCAAGGAGCAATTTCAGCTGCATTGATCAGGCTATTTAACCTGCTTTGGTGAAAAGCCTTCAGATTTCCAAACTGCTTTTTCAATTCATGTTGGGGGAAAAGAAGTGTGTCTTTATACATTAACTTGGAGTTTTAAAGAAGGAGCTAAGGTTGGCAAGGCTGTATGTACATAAGAGGGCAGCAATGCCACCGGAGCTATGCCTGAAGAAAATACTGTCTGTAAAAGTGTTCAGATGCTACCAATCATTTTTGCATAATTCAAAGGATTCTTTGATGAATGGCCACAATGCTGAACGAGCACGGGAAAAGTTGGCAGTGTTGCGGTGCAATCAGACCATAAAGTTAAATTTATTGATCTTGTTATCATGTACTCCAGTTGCAAATAAACTGATGAATAGATGCTTTTCTGCTTCAATTAAAAGAAGCAAGACAGTTCCTAAAAAGCAGGCAAGAACCAGATCGACAGAACAGCAGTGTTGCAACAGAAGATGCCTTGCTCTTCTGCAGAAAGATGATGACCAATTTGCTCTTCCCTCCTAACAGGAGCGCAATATGGGATTACACAAGTGCTCACAAATGAAGCTAGTGACAAAAGCAGACAGGAAAGCACAGTGGCCGTAAGTAGAAACCATTGCCACGTTTACTCGGGATATCCATTTCAGCCCTTTCATGGCTTTTAGATCTTTACCACATGGTAGCCTACATTAGATGGAAGACACCAAAGCTGCCTAAATGATAAACGATGTTTTAAATGATGTTTTTCATCACGAATAACATGCTTTCAGCAGCAAGGAGACAAGAAGCCTTCTCAAGCTGCAACAAGAACAACCTCCAAAACTTTTCTGAAGAGACAGCAAGATAATGAGAAAGAATATCATACCAGGCATGCCAGATGATTCCTACAGTAAAATCCATTTGTGAGTGGATTCTACACTCACACATACGTACGCACACATGAGAGAGCACAGTATGAAAAAGAATGATAAAAGAGTAGAAGGAAAAAGCAATTCCATTCAGGTGAACAAGTACTTTCCTTAAAATATACTTACCTGAGACTTCAATTCTTCCAATTTACGCTTCCTGGCATGAAGAGCTTTACTTGGAAAAGCCCAGAAATAATTGGAAGTTCCAATTCTATCAGTGTCCACCATGCCATCATCAACTAAGCTTTGCAGAATCTCTTTCACTGACATCGAGGCTAATAAAACCAAAAACACCAAATTAGAACTGCACGGCATCTAAACTGTGGAGAATTATGCATACTGTAAGCCATCATCTACAATCACCTGTATGAGTATTTCACTATAACGTCAGCCTGATGCTTCACTTGAAGGAATGAATCCCTTCAAAATCAGCAGTTTATATGTACAGGCTGCTACTCCATACACTCTGCTACCAGATGTTCGTAAAACACCGCTCACAAGTGTCATAAAACATACGTGCATGTTACTGTACAACGCCAGAACAAACTCATGAGAGGGTACTTGAGAAGCTGTCTTGCAGTCTTAATTCTAACATGGATTAACTTATAATTTCTTGATTAGGAGTGCAATTACATTTCCTTTTGTAATGCTTATCAAAGCATTAAACAGCAGCAGAGGCACTAGAGCCATCTGTCTACAGACTCAGGAGGGGCAGATTTTACTTTTGATTATATTCAGTTCCAAGACAGAGTCATCTGCAGTCAGAAGGATCCAAAACCCTTCTGAACATAATTACTCACTTTCTAGCAAATGCACGGTGTAATTCAACATTTTAAAGATGATACCTGTTCAGCAAAGCAGTTATTACTATCCTCAAGTGTTGCAGATGTCTTCAAGGCCAGGCTGGATGAGGCTTCGAGCAGCCTGGTCTAGTGGAAGGTGTCCCTGCCCATGGCAGGGGGGTTGGAACTGGATGGTCTTTAAGGTCCCTTCCAACCCAAACCATTCTATGATTCTATATAAAGACTTTTGAGCTAATTAATGGGTTTCAGTGTCTGACTTCAGTATTAAGAAGGAGATCCCAGATCAGGAACATCCAAGCTTTTGGAAGCTATAGGCTGAATACAAGCATGGGGACATTTCCATAGGATTGACATTTTTCTTTTCAGAGAAACTGGGGCTTGGGTTGTGAGGCTAAATGCCTTCATATTCAGAGGCAGGATGAATTTGGACTATTCAAAGGTGTTAATGCTTTTAGTACGCTACACTAAATTTTTAAACATGAATTCCCGCTGCTTGTACTTACTGTTTTGCATCCTCTCCCTGCAAATTACAATTAAACACAGGCATTGGCAAAGCAATCAAGACAGCATCCCATCTCTTCAGAAGCCTATGACTGCCTCTGTTAGCTGCTGATGTAACCGAAAAACGCTGCTTTGTGATGTTCACATACGTCCGCAGTTCCTTCAACAAGGTCACTGACTCCCGTGGCGCCACAAAGATCTGCTAGTCAGGGACAGTGGCACCTACACAAACATTATGCTTCGTCCCCCGTTTGTCAATGAACACAGAAGGAAGCAGAACAAGGAATATACAAAAAAAACCCGCAAAAGCATAAGATAAATCCTGTTGGACCTAATCCTAAACCAATGGATCTCACCAGGAAGGCTTTCACTGAAAAGACAAACCCCTTCCATTTACAGCCGTCCAGCCACTTTTTTGGGGGGGAAAAGCTCAACAGAACATTGACTGTGTGCATCCGGACTAGCATTTTAAGATATCTGTGACATTAGAGACGGACATTTGAATCCTCTGCTCGCTACGCATAACAATTTCACAGACTGAAACTCACTGCAAGTCAGACATCTCAGAGCCCAGAAAAAACCCATCCCATGTTTTGGTTGTTAACTTGGAGTTGACAGACTCACAGAATTTCACAGAGTGGAAGGGGTTGGAAGGGACCTCTAGAGATCACCTAGTCCAGCCCCCCAGCCCGAGCAGGATCACCTAGAGTATGTCACACCCAAACAAGTCCAGGCAGCTTGGAAAGTCTCCAGGGAAGGAGACTCCACCACCTCCCCAGGCAGCCTGTTCCAGTGCTCAGAGAGTTAGCTGTGACATTTTAATAATCCCCCATTTTGACCCTAACACCTGACATAAGTGACAAACATCAGCAAACTGGGGTAGGAGCATGCCGTTGGAATCGCTTTTAACGCCACAGTCTCCCTTTCCAGCTACTTTTTCCATTATTACTACAGACACAAACCTAAAATTGTAGCCAGGAACATTTACACTGTATGATCTGTCCCAAAAGTGATTAATGGCTTGAGAGAAATAAATTTTGTAAACACTTACTAATCCCTTTTTCCTTCGGAGCAATCTTCTCTATATCCTTCAACTGGAACACATCTTTCTGTGCAAAACATAACAGACACTTTAGCTCCAAATGACAGCATCATCTAAGCCTGAGTGGTTTTTTACACTAAATCAACAACAACAAAAGCAAGTAGGAAATACATTGTGTGGTTATGTTTTGCTAGGGAAATAGGCTGCATATCCCAACAGAATTAGGACATTCTGAGAATTGAAAAAAAAAGGACTACTATTGTAACAAGCCCCATTCTTTTCCTTGGTACTCTATAGTCACTGCATTTTACCTGAAGTTAGACTGTAAGCCCCTCAGGGCAGAGCCCAGGCTGGACTGTCAGCACGAGATGCACCATGTTGCTCCAGCACACAAGCGTCACAGTAATATTTTTAATAGGTGAAACGTTGCGAATCACATACATCACCAACACAGCTGTGCCTTTGCTTTTGGATCTCAAGGTTTCTTCTCCCCAGTGACCTTTTCCAGGTCTAATCTCATCTTTTCTAATGCTTAGATTTCTTCCTCCTCCCATAAACAGCAGTGAGATACTTCCCAGTCTCTTGTTATCCCCCTGTGGCAAGGCACTCAGAACGAGATCCGAATAGGGAGCACATGAGCATTTAACACCACCGGCACAGCTTCGTGCCTTGGCTCCACCTGGGGATGAGCCACCCGATCACAAGCTACTTGAATCAAGCTTGGTCCCTGTAATTTATACACTGATGCCACAGGGCACAAGCAAAACGCATAGCGGGATATAGAGCTCATCCACAGTTCAGCTCCTTTTAGGACCTGTTGTCCCACCCACATCAATGCAGTACAACTATGAGTTACTTACTGTTTCAAAAAAGATCTCCATCATGCGAACTCTCTTCTCCTCAAAACTCAGACCTTTTTTCTTCGACTGGAACAGGAAAAAAAAAAAACAAAACAACATATTCAGCCATTTGAGTAATTATCATCTGTTCAGAATCCAAATCCACTTACCTCTAAGCTATATTTGTCATCCTTTAAAATACCTTACCACTAACCCCAGACTTTCAGACAAACTACTTCTTCCTAAAGAACCTTTACACCAAGCTAACCCGCTCACCATCTATTGAACTGATGGCTCTGTTCTCTACGCTTGGAGTCGACCTTTCACCCAGCCTAATTCAGCTCAGGCCTCAACGTTTCCTGGCATAGCCAAACAGTCCCTTGTTTTACCTTACTAGATTAAAAATGCGCATTTACGCCAAAACTCACCCAGTTCAATAGTCCTTGAAGAGATAAGAAATATGTTTTGGTTTTGTTGAGGGTTTTTTTGTTTAGAATTGTTTTTTATCCTGTAATATAGAGACACTAGTGTGAGACTTAGGCCATTCAGGGTTTTTTTAAGGAGATAAAGTGCATTTTGAGGAACTATGTTTTTCTTTAAACTTCCTACCCAACTTTATAATTTCAAGGTCACATTTTATTTCTTTTATCTGCAGTTGTGTGACCAAGCACAAAATAGCACAGACTGAAATAGAAGCAAAAGGCAGAAATGACTATTCACGAGCTGTTACCTGTTATACAAAGCTGAGCATTATTCCCTCTGATCACTTGCAGAGACACTATTTTGATGTGCCCCTTGTAAAATTAGGTTATACACTATTTCACAAAGATCTGGAGCTTTATTAACAGCGTTTAGCACAGTCCTGAACAACCTAAAAGCAGTGGCCATAAAGCAAAGTGGGAACATTTCCCCTTGCCCCACTCCCTGCTTTGCAGGCTGTGAGACCCTGCACTGCTGGGTCAGGAAACGGAAAGGGGGACAGAAGGAGCAAAATAGGGTGTGGGCAGAAAAAGGGTCTTCCTTAAAAAAAAAAAAAGGAATAAATACTGTTGCCCTTGAGCCAATGGAAGCGGGGAGTCTAACAACATGGTGCTTTGAGAAAGATGGCAGGGGTTTGTTCCCAGCTCCCGACAGAAGGGAGACGATATCACATTTTACTCCTGAACTGCTGCCGCCGCCTTTAACGCATCACGGGGCAGGGCAGCGTAAGAGCTACGGCGTGCCTCAGGAGCCAAACAGACAGAGAGGTTTTATTTATGACATTTCACAACGGCAGCATTAAGGTTTTCCAGTCTCCTCCCTTCTGCTTTAGCCAGAGGTGCCCTAGGTCCGCGCTGGCGTCACGGCTATGGCGTCAGCACCCCGCAGCAGCAGAACCCGCAGGCACCGCTGGCATGCCAACAGCACAGGCTGCTCCAACCTCTCCCGGCTGCCCGAGCAGCCCGAACCCGGCCCGCGCGGGGGGCGGAGACCCACGCGGCACTTCCGAAAGCGCGCGCTCGTGAGC